GGGGTTCGAACTAACCGGCATTTAAAAATGGCGCCGGCCGGCTTCATGCAAATGAAGCCCGGGAAATTCAAATCCCGGGCTTCATTTGCAACTGCGGATGACTACATTACCCCCACTAGTTCGAACTAGCGGGGTAGTGTAGACATACCCTAAGTGATTTGCCCACCTGGATAAACACATCAGTGACTGTGAGGTGCCCAGACATGAAAGCAACGGGGCCAGTTTCGTACATGAGCTAGAGAGAGGTCAGTTGGGGTCAGAGGTAAGTCAATGTCTCTGTCTCTGAGGGCCTAGTGTGAGTCATTCAGGACCTGGTTGAGTGCCAAGTTACACACAGCTCCTATAGCCATGATCCTCTGCTCCTACTAGCAAGTGCTCAGAATAATGCAGCAGGCCCGCCAACAGGGGGCGGGAAGAGAAAGGGGGCACTTGCCCCAGAGCCTGGTGATTTAAAGGGGCCCGGGGCTCCCAGCTGCCACCACTGCTACTGCAGCCAAAGCCCCAGACCCCTTGGCTCTCTGCCAGAGCACTGCAAGGCTATGAAGGGAGGGGAACCCAGTGCTGTGGTCAGGGCAGAGCTGAGGGCTGGCTGCCTCAGCCTCTCCCCTCTCATTCAAGGCCTCCCAAGCCAAGCGCTGAGCTGGCTTCCCCCACACCTTTCCCAGAGGCCCACCTAAGCTGTCAGCGCCCCGATGGTGGGCGGGGGTCAGCGAGTGCTAAGGATTATGGGATGTCTCAGATCACACCTCACAGCAGTGTAGGACCACAATCAAACACAAAAGCAGCAGAGAGCAGTCAGGGTCCTGTCTGAATCCTCACCTCCTGGCCCCTCATAGAATCATAGAATCATAGGACTGGAAGGGACCTCGAGAGGTCATCGAGTCCAGCCCCCCGCTCTCAAGGCAGGATCAAGCTCCGTCTACACCATCCCTGACAGGTGTCTATCTAACCTGTTCTTAAATATCTCCAGAGAGGGAGATTCCACCACCTCCCTTGGCAATTTATTCCAATATTTGACCACCCTGACAGTTAGGAATTTTTTCCTGATGTCCAATCTAAACCTCCCCTGCTGCACTTTAAGCCCATTACTCCTTGTCCTGTCCTCAGAAACCAAGAGGAACAAATTTTCGCCTTCCTCCTTGTGACACCCTTTTAGATATTTGAAAACCGCTATCATGTCCCCCCTTAATCTTCTTAAGGGGTGTCTCACAGGGATCAGTGGATCACAGTTCTGTTGGGCCCAGAGGCACCTGCAGGCCCAGGAGCTGGGTCCAAAATTCCTATGGAGCAGTAACTAATCAGTCCCTGTTTGGAGCAGGCTTAGGGACTGCCAAGTGCTGGGGACTTTCAGGAAATTGTCTACTAGGCCCCACCACACCAGCTCCATGGGCAGCAAGGCACCATCACCTCCTCCTGCTTCTCCCCAGGATGCCAGTAGCTGCTTTCTATCTCCTTGATACCTTGTGAAGAAATGTGGGTGTAAAATAGTCACCTGGTACCAAGCCAAGCCTTTGTCCTTCTGGCAATGTCCTCCAAAACTAGATTGACATCCATTTCCTGAGAGGGCTGAAAGAGTGAATAACATGGAAATGAGTCAATGTTAGAACTCATCAAAAATTAAATTTCTTTTCCAGAGACAGAGAGACACAAAGAAACAAAGAAAGACAGACTGATTTCAGGTGAAAACATTTTTTAGAAAAGGAAAAACAAAATAGACTTTTGTTGAAAACCCAAATTTTCTTGAAAAACAGTTTCATTTTCAATGAGCCTTCGTCACTTTTGTCCTCCTGGACTTTGCACATTGTGAGTCACACCTAAAGATTAAGACTGGTTTGGAAAAAGTGAAAAAAGAAGAGTTATTTAATCCTTCCCATAATCCAAAAACTAAGGGTCACTAAATGAAATTGATAGGCAGCAGCTTTAAAACAAACAAAAAGAAGTACTTCTTCACACAACGCACAGTCAGCCTGTGGAACTCCTTCCCAGAAGATGTTGTGAAGTCCAAGATTATAACCTAAATGGGTGTCTGTCAGGATGGGCAGGAATGGTCTCCCTAACCTCTGTTTGTCAGAGGACAGGAATGGGCAACAGGGGATGACTCATTTAATGATGGCCTCTTCTGTTCATGCCTTGTGAAACACCTGGCATTGGACACTGTCAGAAGACAGGATACTGGACTCCATGGACCTTTGGAGCTGTTCCTATGTTCTTATCATGTCCCCCGTGTTCAAAATATTCACCAGGAATCCTGATCCAGCTGCCATTGAAATCAGTGGCCATATTTTCATTACACTGGTGTGACAGCACCGCTCCAAGCCTGATTATGTTTACTGGTGGGAATTGAGCCCAGTGTTCTTCAGTTAGACAAGCTGTGATGGAAATGATCAGGTTGGGAGACCAGCAACAAAGCCTAAGCAAAGCCTTTCACTAAGGCCTTGCTGGAAATTACTAGGGTTTTCCTTCAGCATTTTTTCCAATGGAAAGTTGGGGTTTTGACTCAATGATATTTTCACCCAACGTGTCTGCTTTTAATTCTAACTGTGCATCAAGAAGCAATACACACATCCCTAACATATGGGATTCTGGCCATTTTGTGATGAAAAAAATTTGGGGCTCAGTGGATGAAAACTCGAAAAAAACAGTATTTGGGGGTTTGGTTTTTGAATGAACAGTCACATTTTCTTATAAGAATTTTGATTAAATTATTTTTTCATGTTTTTGTCTAAATTTTCAGGTCTAATATGTAAATATAACAGGTTAGGTTCCCCACCCATATCCCTCTCATCACTCACTCTCCTACAATTCCTAGATTCAATTCCAGTGGGGCTGATGGCCTCGCCAAGCCCCTGAGCAAAGAAGGGGAGCCTGCTCCTTGCCCCTGGAAGGGTAAGGGCCTCAGGTAGAAGGGGCGGGACTAGGGCTAGGCAGCCGTGCCCCTGGCAGGGTAAGGGCCTCAGGTAGAAGGAGCGGGACTAGGGCTAGGCAGCCCTTAGCGCCACATGAACTGCAATGCTCCTCCTCCCCATCCCCCACTCCTCAGTGTTGCCCAGAGCACACCGTGCAGTGTTCCAGCAACAGTTTAAAGGGTCTCCGTTGCTCTTCCCCTCACTGGCAGGCCTGGTCTATCCCAGTGCCCCTTAGATCCCTGTCCCCCAGTATTTGACCCCTTCTTTTATTTTGTTTTAAGTGAAATTTGTCAGAGGAAAAACAAAGGTTTTCTGACCAGCTAGAAAATATGCCTTAGGAAATGAAGATGAATGTGAGGGAGCTGCATTAATGTGCTTGTCTGTGAACTTTACCTTTATTCCTTGACCCTTTGCTAGGCAATGGATGATCCGCTGGTAGATGCTGCTCAAGAGAAGTTGCACAGGCATCTCAACGTGAGGAACAGGCTCTCGACAAAAATTCTTCAGGGCAAGCATCTCAGTGACTTTCTCTGCCAGGGGAGCACAGCTCCCAATGAAGGCCTGATGGGCTTTTATCATCGCCAGAACAGTCCTGTACAAGTGGGATAGAGCTGTATGTTAATAAACGTCTGCACTTGGGAAGGGACTGGCTATGGGGTTTTTTTTTAATTACACTATCGTGATCCAGGAGGACGAGTCATCCTCTCCTCAACGCCATTGCTTTCTAGTGGCTCACAAAGGAAAACAAACATTGGGCCGACAATGAATTGGGCCTCTTCAGGAGGGATGGTGACCTGCACTGTTCTGTGCTATAGCTGCTTGAACTCAATGCTCTTTATGTCAGTCACTTGTAAGACAGCACGTTCCGTTTTCTATATGTCTACAATGTAATATTTCAGTAGTTACACAACTACTGAGTAAACACCAAAGTGGGTCTTGGTGAATTCATCAGCCTGTGAATTGGTTAAGAATAACTACTTGAGAAACACTAAAGTAAAAGTAGACCTGAAAGCAGAGCTGTCCCATCCACTGGAGGGGTCCGAGTAATTGCCCCAGGCACTTTAGGGGGTACTGCACTTCAGGAGGACACGGGGCTTGGGTGATGCAGGGGCCAGCAGCAATGCCGCTAGCTCCTGCTCTGCTCTGTCTCAGGGGACATGGGGCCTGGGAGCTGTGGAGGCCAGTGGCAGGGGTGGGAAGAGATGTGCTAAAGCAGGAGCAGAAACAGTCAGGGTAGGGACAGAGCAGGAGCAGAGCAGGGACAGAAAGAGGCAAGGCAGGGCACACGGTGGAAGGGGGAGTTGTCCCAGGTCCCACACCCAGCTAGGAATGTCCATGCCTGAAAAGGAACCTAGTATTAAAAATATTGATTAACAGATTCATAAATTCTAAGGCTGGAAGGCCCAATGTGATTATTGAGTCTGAGCTCCCATATAACACAGACCACAGGACCTCCTTGAAATAATTCCTTTTTTTAATTAAGCACATGTTTTAGAAAAACATCCTGTCCTGATTTATAAATTGCCACTGGTTGAGAATCCACCACAGCTCTTGATACATTTTTCCAGTGATTAAATACCTTTACTATTCAAAATGTATGCTACTTCTAGTCTGACATTGTCTTGCTTCAGCATCCAGCCATTGGATCTTGTTATACTTTTGGGCTGGTCTATGCTACCACGGTAAATCGATAAAAACTTGTGCAACTTCCATTACGTGAATAGCATAACTGAAGTCGATGTTGTTAGATCCACTTACCATAGGGGCTGCACGGCACTGTATCAGTGGGAGAGCATCACCCATCGACTTCTCTTACACTTCTCGGGTAGGTGGAGTATTCTTCCATCAATTTAGTGGGTCTCCACCAGACTCACTAAATCGACAATCACTGCATTGATTGCAGCAGTGCCAAGCAAGTGTAGACATAACCTTTCTCTGCTAGACTGGAGAGTCCCCAAATCTCAAATTGTTGCTCTCCATGCAGATATTTATGTAGACTGTGATCAAGTCACCTCAGATCCTCCTCTTTGTTAAGATAAATAGATTGAACTCCTGGAATCTCTCATTATAAGGCCTTTACAATCCTTTAATAATTCTTCTGGCTCTTTTTTGAACCGTCCTGAATTTCTCAAAATTAATAATCTAACACTCTCTGGACTGAATCAAAAGGGTTATTCTATTGAAACTCCACTCCAATATTGGCAAATTTCTTCTACTAGATTTCAGCTCTAAAATCCAAAATCATCAAATGCATAACATAGATGCTCCTTGGCCCCTTTCTCTGCCAAACCTTAACAGTGACTTCATAGTTCTTATGACTTAATGACCTTCGACATGATCAGTTGTAGTTATATCAACAACTCATTGTAGTAGTTCAGGACAATGAGACAGTAAAGTCAGGCTTCACTGGTGTGGCATTCTGCTCCGTCAGTGATGATAAACATTCAGCTGAGTGTATATTCATATGCTCCCTCATATTGCAGGTAGCTAGCACAATAGACTTCATGAGAGCCCCCACAGACCACAGACTCAGATAAGGTACAAAGGCACCTGAGTCAGGTTTATTGTTGAACGGAGTACACTAATAGGTGTTGGCAGCCAGATGGCCTACGAGCCCCTATGTATTTGTACCCGGGACAATAGATGCAGCTCAATCTATAGTATGGATTTCACTACTGTCCCCAGGCCAGCCAAAGTGTAAAGTGAGGTTAACCCCAACATTTACAGACAGAAATGAACAAACTATGATACACACTCTACGGATCATCTTACGCGTTAATGACACACTTGATACCTCCCCTTGTACTTTCCTCCAAAGCATTCACTACCCAGCGTTATGCTTTCATTCTTGTTGTTTCCAACTATTTTATCATGTTCTCAGCTGGTTGTCCTGTATAGTCCTGACAGAATGTGTTTACATGCTTATTGTGCTTTTAGCAGTGCTGGCAGTTCTAGTGCCGAGAGACACTGACTTTCAGGCAACCATTTGCTTTTGACATAGCTGGTCTGTTATAATAGTGTAAGTCTTGTTCACTTTGGTTCAAGCACCAGTCCCATGCTTCAAACTCTTTCTTTCTCCTACATCAGTGGTCCCCAATGTGGTGCCCGTGTGTGCCATGGCACCTGCTGGGGCACTTTTGTGCACCCACCAACTGACCAGGGCCAGCCCAACCCATTCTTACACCCTGGGCCCCGGGCGCACGTGCCACCCCGGCCTTGGGCACATGGCGCACATGAGGCCCTGCCCCCGGGTACCCAGCAGCCCCAAAAGGTTGGGGACCACTGTCCTACACCCATCATATCTAACTTGCACATGGCCCATGTGTCTGTGAAACTCTGCTGAACTGAAAAAAAAAGAGAGACAATTGACCAGGGATGATTATTTTCTTTCTCATTATTCTCTCTGTCAATTCATGATTCAACATGCAAATAGAGCTCAGAGTTACAAATTTGCTCTTTTTTTCCTGTTAATCTGAATTCTACCACAGTCTGAACCGTGGCATGACTACTTCTGCTTTCTTTACTACTGTTTTTTTTAAAAGTCAATGAATTAAATAAACTCAGAAAATATAAATACAGAAGGAGCCCAGGGTCTGTCTAGACTACTGGGTTTTGTCGACAAAAGTTGCCTTTTTGACAAAACTATACCTGCGTCTACACTACCACCACATTCTGTCGAAAAAGGAGAGCAGTCTAGATAATAAACCCAAGCTCTTATGCAGTACTTTTCATCTGTAGATCTCTGACTAGAAATAAGGTGTAGATGTTTAACTGTGAAATTATCTGTTGGAACCATTTACCAAGGGTTGTGGTGGATTCTCCATCAATGACAATTTTTAAAATCAGCTCCAGTTCAAACAGGCATTAATCAGGGAAGTCCTGTGGCCTATGTTATACATGAGTTTGTTATACAGTGGCCTTTCCTGACCCTGGTCTCTATGAATCAGACTGCTTTGCAAGAGAGTCCCCATCATTTCCTCATGTTCCAGGTGTTCTGGGATTCAGGCTAGTAGCTCTAACCACCAGGCCACACAGTCTTCTTTGGTACAGCTCCACTTGGTGCCAGCAAACCAAGTGTTTCCAAATCATTATGCCACAAACAGCAATATTCAATTTTACTAGACAAAAGAATGACTATGTTCTTTCATTTTATTTCTCTTGCAGACTCACGCTTGCTTCTCTTCATCCTTCCTCAGCTGATCGAAAGGCAGTGACTGTACTTCTTGTGAAGTTAAAGGGTCCCCAGCCTGTTCGAAGGCTTCCCTTTGAACTGCATACAGCAAAGGAAGCAGCCAGATCCAACAGGTGCTCTTAGAGTCTTTGGAGACTTGGATGCAAACATGCTTCAGAGCTGAAACACACCTCCTGGAAGGGCAGGGATGCAAAATGTTAAGCAAACAAACAATTCCTTGAGTTCAGACAAACCGAATCCCCAATTACCTCAGTGCGGCTCTTAACCAGCTTGAGCTTCAGATGTGAGCTGAATGGCTGGACAGCAGGGCAAAGTTGTACATGTGCCTGTACAAATAGGGACCCAGGGCTAAGTTGTTCTGAGTAGCGTATGAATAATTGGTGGTTTTATTCCAAAATATTGGAGGGGAAAAAGCTTTGGTTCAGACTGAACCACATCAGAAAAATAAAAAAAAAAATCAACAAATCTGAAAAGCCCATTTGGAGTCAAACAAAACCTGGCGCTCAACCCCACACAGCTTGTTCTGAAGCATGTTAAAGTGCTAGTCACAAAACAGTCAAGGGAAAACATGCTGCCTTTTTATAGCCTTTAATCCAGTGGTGAAGGCTGTCACCTGTGAGGCAAGGGACCCACATTTTCATCCTCGCTCTGGAACAGGGATGTAAAGCATTAGTCTTATCTGTTAACCCACCCTAACCATCAGCTTCCAGGCTGGTCCATCAGCCCCAGGGATGGAAACCCTGGGCTCCCCCAGTGACAGCCCCTCCCCCCGGTTCATAACTCCTTTCCAGACCCTCTTGCACCCGTCTTCCAGGCCAGAATCCTCTCTTGCACCCATACCCTTCCCTGACCCTGCACCCCAAGTCCCTACCCTGGGTCTCAACCCCCTCCTCTGCCCAAACTCCCTCTCCTGTACCCCACACTAGGGTTGCCAGATAGTTTCACCGAAAATACCAGGCCACAAAAAAAAAAAGCACCAAGAAAAAGTTGTCAAGAAAAAAAAAAAGAAAACAGGAAAGGGGGGGGCACAGAAAAAGTTGTTGAGCAGCCTTCCATTGGGCACCAAGTTGGGCCCCAGCAAAAGGAGAAAATACCAGACATTTTAGATGTCTGGTATTTTCACTATTTGTTTACCAGACAGAAGGCGCAAATACCAGGTTGTCCAGTTCAATACTGGACACCTGGCAACCCTACCCCACACCATGGGTGTGCAGTATGTGAGGTGGGGGTAGGCCCAGTCTTTCCAAACCGCCAGCCTGGCCCCGCCCACAATCCGCCCACAGAATGCCTATCAGTGCTCCTGGTCAGGGAGGCTGGAGCAACACGCCACCTGCCATTCACATGCTCTGGGGCCAGGGAGGCTGGAGACGTTCACACCCACCCACTCTCCTCTCTGTGGTGGGAGAGGCAGGGACACAGGTTGGCTCCTGTGTGGGGTGGGGCCTCAGTAGAAGGAGGAGTGGGGCTAGGAGTGGGGTTGGAGGGCTTGCCAACTGTCAAAAATGATTGCCCACCCCTGTTCTACAGTCTGGTGGTTAAGACACTCATGAATGATGAGGGAAAGCTGAAACCAAGTCCCCTGATCCAATTCTTCCTGTTATAACAGGGGTTTAGCATGAGAAATTTTTCCTCAAGGCTTACCCAGCTATGACATTTTGAAACCAATTTTCTTGGAATCAACATTTAGGGTATGTCTAGACTGCAAGCTTCTTTTGAAAGAATCTTTTCCAGAAATGATTTTTCGAAAGAAGTTTTTTCAAAAGAGCATCCACACAGCAAAAGCACAGCAAAAAAGCAACCTGCTTTTTCGAAAGATAGCATTCATATTGACTGGACACTATCCTGCATTTAAGCTTTTGATTACAACGGATGGAGTGGCCACTACGGCACCAAAAACCTCCTGCCTGTCCACACACACCTTTTTCCGCAAGAGCTCTTTCGGAAAAGGCATTCTTCCTCTTAGAAAGAGGTTTACCAATGTCAGAAAAAAACCTTTTGTTCCTTTGATTTTTTTCCCCAAAAGAATGTGATTACAGTGTGGATGTAAGCAAAGTTTGTTTTTCAGAAAAACAGATGTTTTTCCGAAAAAAACTCCTGCAGTCTAGATGCACCCTTACCCTCAAAATGACATCTGAAGTTAAAATGTCAATTCAAAAAGAAAATTTTGTTTCCACTTGACTTTTTAAAGGGGAAAGTGTCACTTCAAACTGTAAAGACATTTTGTTTCCGTCCAAAAACACTAATGTTTTCCCTTGTGACATTCCCTAATTGAAATTTTTCAGAACTTTTTGTTGCATGAAATTTTCCAGATGTAAATTTATTGTCCCATGTTTTCTGACAATACGATTGTGGTAGCTTGAGATCTGGCAGATGTCTCTCCACTCACACCTATATGTCCATCTTGCTGGTATTCAATGGGCATTCTACAAATCACAGGGTAAAGAATCCTGCACCTAAAAACTATCCCAGAAAACTAAGGTTTGGGTGTTTGTGTGTCAGTCACCTTCCTGCAGATGGGGCATCCCTGCCAGAGTTTTCATTGATCTGGGGGTAGTACCACTAATAGCCAACTCATAGGCATTGACTCTGTGGGTGCTCTACTGACAGCCAACTACTCTTGCCCACCTCCCAATCAACTGCTCCCCCTTTCTCCCAGTGCCTCTGCTACCACAGAGCAGTGGCTGGGCAGCATGCAGGAGATGCTGGGAGGGAGGGGAAGAAGCAGGGATGGGGTGCAGCCTGTAGAGGAGGGGCAGGGGTGAGGTCTTGGGGGAAGGAATAATATAGGAGCAGGGCCAGGGTGGGAAAAGATGAGGTAGGGTGGGTGGGGGCTTGAGGAAGGGGGTGGAGTTGGAGCGGGGCTGGGGCTGAGTGAGGTTTGAGCATGCCTGGGGAAAATTAGAAGTTATTTCCTATGAACCAACTTGAGACCTCTTCCTTGGAAGCACTAGCCCTGTTCCCATTGGCTCTAGGACTGTCAGATCTGATGGCTAGCCTGTGTTTCCACCTGTCTAGCATTAGAGAAGGACTGGCACTCTCATTATCTGCCACCCAGCTGCCCCTAAATTTGATCTTAGCCTTTGGGATCACTGTCTTTAGGTACTACTGCAATACAAATAATAAAGCCATAGTAATTGTCACCCTAGGGTTAACTTGGAAAAGGGTTTCCATGCTGAGCCCCTATTATATATAATGAAATCCATAAAAAGCATCTTTGGAAAAACATGAGAGACAGGAGAGATTCCAGAAGACTGGAAAAGGGCAAATATAGTGCCCATTTATAAAAAGGGAAATAAGAACAACTCAGGAAACTACAGACCAGTTAGTTGAACTTCTGTGCCAGGGAAGATAATGGAGCAAATAATTAAGGAAATCATCTGTAAACACTTGGAAGGTGGCAAGATGATAGGGAACAGCCAGCATGGATTTGTAAAGAATAAATCATGTCCAACCAATCTGATAGCTTTCTTTGATAGGATAACGAGTCTTGTGGATAAGGGAGAAGCGGTGGATGTGGTATACCTAGACTTTAGTAAGGTGTTTGATACGGTTTACATGATATTCTTATCAATAAACCAGGCAAATACGACTTAGATGGGGTGCATAACTGGCTGGATAACCGTACTCAAAGAGTAGTTATTAATGGTTCACAATCCTGTTGGAAAGGTATAACTAGTGGGGTTCCGCAGGGGTCCGTTTTGGGACCCACTCTGTTCAATATCTTCATCAACGATTTAGATAGTGGCATAGAAAGTACGCTTATTAAGTTTGCAGATGATACCAAGCTAGGAGGGGTTGCGACTGCTCTGGAGGATAGGGTCATAATTCAAAATGATCTGGACATATTGGAGAAATGGTCTGAGGTAAACAGGATGAAGTTTAACAAAGACAAATG